ACGCGGGGCTCGAACTCACGGACCGCGAGGTCATGACCTGAGCCGAAGCCGGACGCGGAACCCACTGAGCCCCCCAGGCGCCCCCAAAACATATCATTTGTAATGCACTTCTGGTGGGAGCTGCATAGCCTGAACTAGAGATTCTGCTTCACGCTCAGAAGAGACACAGATTTGGGTAAACGCGGATCACAAAACGGATCAGGCACGAGAGGGAGCTAACGGGGCTGGTGTCACTGAAGAGTTTTCAGTCCACACGGGTGAACGAAATTTGAAATCCGGCTCCGGGATGCAGTGCCCTTTCCGCTCTGCACAAATGCAACAGGCTTCGAAAACAGGTGTTCGTTAAGCCCCACCCACCAAGTATTCACGAGCAAAACTCATCGTGCAAAGTGCCCCCGCCCGCAAAAGCTCCGGCCACCCTTCGTCCCCGAGTGCCGAAGAGACTCACGGCTGCTTCCCCAGCGGCAGGGCCGGGTCCACCTTCTCGCCCTCGCCGTGCTCGGAGGCGGCCGGCTTCAAGACCTTGGGGGTCCAGCTCTTCTGACGGGGGTGCGGCCTCACCGCGTCCTCCTTGACGGAAGGTCGCTCAGAGCCTTCAAACTGAACTGGAAAGAAGGCTCGTTTAACACGGAGGCCACAGGGGTGGCCGGGGCGGATGCCAAAGCGGCAGCCTCGCCTCGGGAAGGAAGCCCCCTGCGCCAGGGCTGACGCGTGCCGACCACCCAGGGTGGGGTGCGTCCTGGGGGCCTCCAGAGTGCGCCTAGCGTGTACTTCTAAAAACTTTCAGTAAATTTAGAATAAAAGATAAGAGCGTATCACTCTAGGAAACCAAAAAAGCCGCTTTTACTACGAAATAACACACAGATCAACCTGGAAACAGAAACTACGAACGGCGCCTTGGACGCTACGCCACCGAGGCCGCACGGAGCAGAGACACGAAGGAGCGACACGCAGCACGGCAGGTGGCCACGGGGTTGACGGAAAACAGGGCGGAAACCGAACTCCACTGAGCCTGCGTGTGGACCACGCCGGCACCACCAGCCTGGCTTCGCTGGCGGAGGGAAAAAGACACCCGGCTCTCCCCAATCCGAGGAAAAAGAGGCTGTCGGCCAAACAGAGGGAGACCACCTTTCACACCGAGCCCGACCGCCCGCGTCTCCTAAGCTATTCTGCACACTCGCGCCTCGAGGAGGGGCCCCTGCAACGCACTGGACCCAGTGCTGCCGTTTCCTCAGTGGGACTTTCACCAGGCGTGAGGGGCGGCCCCGAGCAGGAGCCGGTAGAAGCCGCTCCCGACCTGGCGGCTCGAGACGTGTGGGGACAGAGCAGTGGCCACGCGGGCGTTTCAAGCCACTGAAGGCACTCGGCGCCCAGAGTCTCAGGCCTCCGGGGCTCAGCCTCGCGTGGCCTTCCGGCCACAGGAGATGTTCCCGGAGCCTGGGGGCAGCCCTCACCTGACAGGGCCCTGGCGATCTGATCCTTCTTCCACTCCCAGGGCTGCTCGTACTCGGCCGCTGGCCTCTCATCCCCCGCGGGCAGTCGTGTCCTCCGCTCCTCTGTCCTGGGGCCGCCGTCCGTGGGCTCGTAAGGCGTGTCGTACAGCTGGGGGGGCTTCCCCAGGAGGTCCTTGGAGCTCCGTCTCTTGGCTGACGTCTCCGATTTCGTGCCGGTGTCGCCCGCCTCGCAGGGACCATCCAGCAGCTGAAGAGCCTTCACCAAGGGATCCTTGGAACCTCGGCGTCGGATTTCTGGAAAACACCCGTACGTAAGACCTCGACGGCGGGGTGCCACGGAAGCCAGTGACCAACGCGCTCCCGCCTCCCGCTGTCCGGGGAAGGCGGCAGAGAACAGCCACACTGCCTCCCGGCCCAGATGCGAAGGGGCCGCCTGTCCGTGCAAGGACCTACGGCTCCTCTCCAGGCACCCGGGCGGGCGCACCATCCGGCCCGACAACCAGACGTCACCTGAGGACAGGCATCTCGGGGCCGCGTGCAGCCTGTGGAAGGAGAAACGGCCACAGGAGACCTGCCCCACAGCCCAGGGTCCACCTTCGTGGAGGGCTGAGGCCACAGTATTTTAATAAAAGTCGACGGGCCGTTACGTTCTGCACTGGGCCACACGCACCGAGGGAAGACAGTTACGTGCACAGGACAGTTCCTGACTCCTAGGGGGTTTCAAAACACTGAGGAAGCTAGACACGTTCACAAACAGTATGTGGCGGGCTAAGAAGTAAAAACGACCGCTAACGTCACGGACGGTGCACTCTGTGGCTTTCACAACAGCCCTGTGAGACGGGTACTGTGGTTTCCTGATGTTACAGAAGGGAAAGCTAGCCACAAAGCTCAAGGCAATTGTCCTCAGCAGCACGTGGCAAAGCCGGGACGCGCTGGACACACAAGCAGGAAGCTGGGTTCTGGAAGCCGTGCTCTCAGCCACTGCACGTGGACACACTCCCTGTGGAAGATGGGTTCACCCTGACAGAGGAGGTCACGCCCAAGGGAGGAAGCTGCCTGAGGGGAGACAGGGAGGTGGGGAGCGCAGAGGGCCTGTTCCCATAGCGCGGAACGGACAGGGAAGTTCAAAGGACAGAGGCAGGAGAGGGGAGACGGTGGGGGGCTGGACAGTGGGCACGCGGGGCTCCAGACACACAAGTTTTATTTATTTACTTTTGAGAGAGAGTGCACGCGCGCCGCGGGGAGGGACAGAGAGAGACACACAGAATCCAAAACAGGCTCCAGGCTTTGAGCTGTCAGCACAGAGCCCGACGTGAGGGCTGGAACGCACAAACCGGGAGGTCAGGACCCGAGCCAAAGTTGGAGACTTAACCAACTGAGCCCCCGAGGCGCCCCAGACACACGAGTTTTAAAGGCAAGGATACACAGTTCAGGTCGTTCTGCATGTGACTCAGCTTACGTTTTCTTAGCAGGTAATAACAATTACGTTCACGTTCCGCTGGAAGCTAAGGAGGCAAAAACCAAGCAGAAGCTACGAGCCACGTGGGAAGGAGCCAGGAGTGTCTGGGACCGACCGGCTCGAGGTCCAGAGGCCTCGGCAGGCGGCGTCTGGGCAGCCCGAGCCCGTGACGTGGACGCACCATATTGTGGCTGCTCCGAACGCCCGCCGGGACGCCGCCAGGAGCCTTTCCAAGTGCGTGCACCTCAGTCCGCCTGAACCCGCTCGGGGCTCTCAACGGTCTGCGTACAAAGGGCCAGCTGCTCGGCCACGACCCCTCACGTGTGGAAACCTTACCCAGAGTCCCCTCCTCTCTCCTGCCCACCTCCCTTCCGAGTCACAGGTGCACGCTCACACACACGAAGGCTGTTAGTGCCGTGGGAACCCCAGAGACAAGGACAGGGTCAAAGGCAGAGCCGGGGCTCCCAGCTCAGGGTGGGTGGGGGCGGTGTCTCCCCCCCCCCCCCCCCCCCCCCCCGGCGTGCCCGCAGGGGCGGAGAAGGGCCAGGTAAGCGGGAGGGTCGGACGACCACAACTAACGCGGGCACGGTGACACTCGGAGAAGAGTCACTGACGGAGAGACTCGTATCACAGCGAGAGCAACAAATGAAACTTTGAAGGGCGAGTGACGGTCAGGACGCTAAGTTCAGAACCACAGTGTCGGTTCCCAGGGCCCGGCCACAGCCGGCTCCAGCCCCGCGTGTGGGGGTCCGGGCGTAATGGGTCTGGGGTGTGGGGGTTCTCAGGGGAGGCTGAGCCTGAGGAGCACGGGCCCGCCTCCGGTCCCTGTGCCCCCCATCCGAGCGCCTCCTGCCTGTCCCCGTCCCGGGGTTCTCCTGGAGCCAAGCCCTCCGTGTCCGAGCGAGCAGGCTCCGGCTCCGGGGCCGGGACGGGCGCTGGCGCAGGTGCGTCTCCATCCAAGCCTCTCGACCTTCAATACTGCGCCTCGTTTTCACTACTCTAGATGAAATTATGGGGAACGACATCCCCACTCCGTTCCTGGTTCAGTGAAGATCGGGCTGGAATTTTTTTAAAACAATGTTTCTACAGAGCTAAGAAGAAGGAAAGAGAAGGCAGGACGGAATTCAAAGCACGAACCTAGAAACTGTAAGTTTCTGACCAAACCGCAGGCTTACCGTCAGTTTAGACGGTGACCCTGCCCCAGGTCCTCGCCTCAGCTCAGCCCTGCCCACAAGGAAATCTCAGTGCCCGTGCTGAAACGATGTCAATGATTAGGGTCTCGAGTGAGGCCGGGGCACACGGGAGTCCCTGGGAAGCGCTCCTTCCCGGGTGGCCCGGGGGGCGGGGAGATCCGAGAAGCACCATTTAATTAGGGGAAAGAGGGCCTGAGCGGTGGCCCTGCGAGGGAGTCGCCCTGCACTCCGTTCCGGCACCTGCTGCCCCCAGCCCGAGGCGCCACAGAAACAGAAACAATCACCCAGCGGGCCGACCTTCCCGCTGGAGAACGGCCCTGACGTGCAGGGCTGGCTCCGGGAGGAAACGGGCCTGAGAAGGAGGAAACGGCGAGAGGAAGCTACGCCCCGGCCCCGCTGATAGAGGCCTTTACCTCGGACAACAGACCTCGGGGCCTGCAGATACACCCCACCCTCCAGGCTGCCCGCCCTGGCTCAACGGCTCAGGACCAGGAACAGGACCAGGACTTCCCCTCACTAAGTGCAGTGCAACCGGCGGTGAATGGTCCGCTACGCGGGTCCAGAACTCCCTGTGAAGACCCAACTCTCTCTCCAGAGTGTCTAAATAACGGCCGAATTTACTGGACGTGCGCGCACTAGGCGCGTTACAGCAGCACGTCCGTGAGGCCCGGTGAGTGGCGACACACAGGTCAGCCCCTTCTCGCAGGGACGTAGACGAGGCCGCGTGGCCTCAGTGGACCTGGGCACTGCATGCTCACTCTGTGCCCCAAAGATTTCACGCAGAATGTTCACAACATTTCTGTAACGCACCTGGCCCCCAACCCGTCTCCCAATGCTTTCAAATACGCTTACAAACTGTTTTCCCCTCAAAGATGGTTTTAGGCACGGGTTTTATTAGTGCTCAAGCTTTTGATTTAAAATGATTTGAATATTTTAGGGGTACCTGGGGGCTCAGTCAGTTAAATGTCCGACTTCGGCTCAGGTCATGATCTCGCGGTCTGGGAGTTCGAGCCCCACGTCAAGCTCTGTGCTGACAGCTCAGAGCCTGGAGCCTGCTTCGGATTCTGTGTCTCCCTCTCTCCTTGCCCCTCCCCCGCTCACGCTCTGTCTCTTAAAAAAAAAAAAAAACTAAGTAAAAATAATAATGCAAAAAAAAAAAAATAAAGGAACATGGAAATAAAAAACTTAAAAACTTAAGTTAAAAAACTTAAAAAGATAAAAATGATTTGAATATTTCCCTATCAAATAAGTCTAAATACCTGAACAAAAGCACATAAAATTGAGGAACCCTGAACTTTAGGTTTCACAAGTAAAGTATAGGCAAATTAGATAAATCAAAGTCTTCTATTTTTGTTTTTTTCCAGAATGGATTTTTAAAAATGTTTACTCATGTTTGAGAGACAGAGAGAGAAAAAGAGAAAGAGAGAGAGAGCACGAGCAGAGGAGGGGCAGAGAGAGAGGGAGACACAGAATCCGAAGCAGGCTCCAGGCTCCAAGCTGTCAGCACAGAGCCCGACGCGGGGCTCAAACTCACAAACCAGATCGTGACCTGAGCCGAAGTCGGACACTCAACTGACTGAGCCACCCAGGCACCCCTCCATAGAGGGTTTAATGGACACCCCAACAATGAGGCTCTCCTTCAGATTTGACTATTCAGGGGCACCTGGCTGGCTCAGTTGGTGGAGTGAGTGACTCTTGATCTTGGGGTCGTGAGTTCAAGCCCCACGGTGAGCACAGAACTTAGACAGGCAGACAGGTATTGACCAGTGCAGGTGAACAGCCTGGTGCCTCCACTCTCCCGCCGAGCCACGCAGACACGTTGCTGAATGGTTCCAAACTCTCGTGTCCTCACTGCCGGCCAGACTTCCAACACCACTGCACGGGCTGCGGGGTCGGCCAGGTAACTGGTGGGCCGGGCACCAGAGCACCACCACTGGAAGCAGTTCCCACACGGAACGCGGGCGGTCTCGGGGATGAACACCCTTCCTGGGCTAAAGGTTTCACTTGAACGCATCGTGCTAAATCAGCTAGAATATTTCTGCCAATTATGTAGCTAAAATGTTGCTGTCACCTTAGCCGAACAACGGAGAGACTGACACCGATACCACCGTTCGTAATCTAATTTTTTTGAACAATCCTTGGGTACGTCTAAGGGAGGATTTATTTATAAACTTCACTTACGTTCAATGACACGTTTTCTTGTCTGCTGGTGTCGGGTCTGTCTGCCTCTTGGGAGGCGAGGTCAGTCCATAAGGACATGGGTCACGTGGTCTTGTTTCTGGTAAGCCCGGAGCCCAGCACGGGGCCAGGCTCGAGTACTTGCCTGAGAAGCACTTGCTGGAGGTGCTGACATCTCAGAGGGCGTTAACGCCGGGCGCGGTCCCGCCATCTCACAGGACAGCAAGGACAGGGGCTGGTGTCCTCACCATCTCCTAAAAATGTGAAACTAAAGAAAATTCTCTAACGTTTTTCAAGAAAAAGGAGCCGTTTCTGAGATTGCACAGGACAACCAAGCACATAAGGACCAAACTGAACAAAAAGGCAGAAGGTTTAAAAAAAAAAAAAAACCAGCAGCAAATCTTTTATTTCCAGCTTCCGATAAACTCACTTCCTGTTATTCTGTCCAGCTGTGGAGCCCACGGGTAGAATCAGAGGTATATTCTCTGCACTGACTGAGAAGGTGTTTTGATACATGTTTTAAATGAGGTTTTAAAATTCACGGATTCTCTACGACAAATAAGCTATTAATATTGAACAGTCAGTAATTCAAATGTTTAGTAAATTTGAATTTATTCTCCAATTGGATATATTAATCTTGTACTCCTAAATAAACGTACTCACATAAACTGTAGAACAGAGCCTGGCACTTAACAAATACTTGAATATTAAATGTTAGCTATTATTATTACGTTTATTTCATGTTGGACAATTTGGATTTTTCCATACAACCTTCTTTATGAGCCTGAGCGGAAAGGTGCCTCACTTATGAGTAAGATTTAAAAAACAATTAATGTTTATTTATCTTTGAAGGAGAGAGACACAGAGAGCAAGCACGGGAGGGGCAGAGAGAGGGGGAGACACAGAATCTGAAGCAGACTCCAGGTTCCGAGCTGTCAGCAGAGCCCGACGTGGGGCTCGAACCCACGAACTGGGAGATCATGACCCGAGCTGAAGTCAGACGCTTAACCGACTGAGCCGCCCAGGCGCCCCAATTATGTGTAAAATTTAAAGTGCTTTTCCTACGTCATTTCAAACGTGTCCCGAGGCCACGTGGTGGGGGAAGCTGACCACCCGACCCGGAGGAGATCTAGGCGCTACTTTCTGCTCTGTCTCTTACAAAGTCAGAATCTCTGATTCTGTAAAAGGGGAAAGGGCTGGGGTCTCTGAGCACAGTCCCGTGGGGATCATGGCATTTTCCTACCATTAGTGTGGCTCCACAAATACCGACCGGGGACAGTACAGATAAACTACTATTCTGGTTAAAGAGAAAGAAACGAATAAAAACCAAAAAGACAAAAGAAAGAAATCAAAATTAAGCCTTAAAAAAAAATCTTTTCCCTCAATTTTATGTAAATCTTTTCCTCTATTCCTTTGAAGCCTCTGATATTTTTTAAAATTCTGACTAAGTTCATTTTCACTTCCTTTCATTCACAGATTTCATTAGAGGTCACAGTCCAGTGACCTTCGGGGTCGCAGCCCGGCCAGGGTACACCCTCCCCAAAGCGCAGCCTTATCTCTGTAAGCAGGCAAACAGGACGCGGCCCCCCTTTCCTGCTGTAGCTCGTTTTCATCCTGAAGCCTGTCTTGACCCGTCCAGGGTGCCGGCTTCCCTGTGCTCCCCCCTCCGGGCCGTGGCTCCGCGCCTGGGCTGCCGGCTTCCCAGTCTGTCCCGAAACGGGAGCCACAGGCTCTGCGTGTGGCCCGCGCGTCCCTCCCCAGGCACGAAGCGCCCAAACAAGGGTGCCTGGGGTCAGCCCTTAGAAACACATTTTTCCTTACGGATTAAAGAGCATTTAGGGGAAAACGGTGAATAAGTTATTTTACTCTAAGTTTCACAAATAAATCTAAACCACCAGCTCATATTATTTTTAAGTATCACTTACAGGAAATTGAGACAACCGTGAATAAAAGGGCAAAGTTGGGTGCTGGAGACAACAGGGACTGCTTAGCTCACACGTTAGCTCTGCCCGCGACGTCACGGGAACAGCGGACTGTGGTCTCGGGAGGTCTGAGCCACACGGCCTGGCTCACAACAGCGACTGGTGGTTAATTTTTTGCTCCCACGCTGTAGAGCTTGTCGAGAGATCAACCTTCTGCTGTGACACAGGGGACCGTGTCACGTCCGTGCTTTCTAACCACGTGAAATCCTTGAGGTGTGTTTCAGTCCCTGGGAGAGATCCCTGACCCCCCTCACGGGCGTCAAAGCGGCCAAGAAATGAATGTCAACCACCTCAACCCTGAAGGGCACGACCTGAGCACATCTGCAAACTCACAAGTGTCACTTTGCACAGAATTAGAAAGATGTCAAAGACTCTGCAGACCCTAAAGCCGAAAGATACGAAACCACAAAGATAGTTAACTGGGTACTTTGAGCTTGCTTTTGTTTCCGACTTCTGTTTTCCTGGTCAACAGACCCGATGGAACCGCGTCACCTGTCCCCCAAGCACAGGTTAGCGCCTCTCGCCCGCCCGGCGCTCTGCCCACAAACCTGTTATCATCTGCTGCGCGTCGTAGGGCTCCATGTACCCGTCATTCTCTCCCACTCTCTCTGCGTCCCTCTGACCTTTTGTCCGCGTGGCATCGTAAGGATCAGCGTAGTCTTCTAAAATGATGACCTTAAAAGAACCAGAGAGGAGAGCTGCCGGGGGTGATCACACACCGGGCGGCCACGGGATCAAAACCTACTGAAAATCTGCAGAGCCAAAAAGGTCCCCAGCCAGTCCCGAATGGATCTGCTCGTGCTGGATCGTGTCACGGGTGGACAGCCATGTGATCTGTCGGTGGCAAAACTGACCGGCAACAAGTCACCCAAACCTTGCTCGACCCCAAGCTCGTCTCCAGGTCTGTTGTCTCCCCAGGCGGTGACGCGTTTGCTGGTGGAAGACAGAGGTGACTGTCGGACTGCTCTAGCACCTTCCCTCTGACTTTGGTCCTTAATGCCAATCTGGTGGGCGACACGGGCGAAAGTCAGTCAGTCGCCCAGTGAGCACTGAGCGTCCACCGGCACCGGCGAGGCGCTGTGACGGAACCAAGTGGAACCAAGCCTGGGTCTCGTCCTTCAGCGATCTGGAACCTCCGAAGAGAAGGCTTCAGAAGTCTGAGACGCAGTCAGAACTGAACAGCACTGGGGAGGTCTAGGTTCCATAACTCACAGGCACACAGGTCTCCCCAAGCGACAGAGTTCTGGTCCGTACCTGGCACAAAAACCTCTAATCTTCCAAAACCAGAAAGGTGCCCGGAGAGGTGGCGTGTGTGATGGGTTCTAGGCTGCAGTTGCTGGCTGACGACGCGGGGAGGTTCGGGGACCACGCGGGAGGTTTGGGGACCGGAGCCTGACAGGCTCTTCTCAGGGAGGAACAGTTTTGCAGGGAGAGTGGGGGGGGGGGGGACAAAAAGCACAGCCCCTGCCCTATTGTCAGTGTGGCTCCAGAGTAAACAGCTGGGACCGTGTAAACTACCTGCTCCAGCGGAAGAGAAAGAGAGGAATAAGAACCAAAAGGCAAAGAAAGGTGAATCCAACTAAGGGGAGGCCCCAGACCTGCTACGGTCTCTGATCGCATCGGAACTCGCGGCAGAGAATCGCTTGGGCCCGCAGGGAAAGTGACACCAACAGGGAGAGACGAGGAGGGCGGGGGCCGCCTGCCTGGAGGAGGTGGCCTGAGAAACATGGGGCATCCAGAAGTGAGGCCCTCGCACCACTGCACAGCACCCCCGTCTCCGTCCTCTCACTGCCCGCCACGTGAGCCCCATTCCCAGGAACACAGACGACTCAGCCCTCGGCTGCAAGGTGCTTCCCATCAAGTCCAACGGTCAGGGGCGCCACTGGCTAACAGCTGGGTCCTTGGTCATCTTTCCACCTGGTCCCCACCCCCGTGCCCGGCGCCACAGAGGCAAGCTGTGAGTGTTTGCGGGAGGGATGAGTGGAGGCATGAAGAGAGTGCCCGGAGCGGACGCACGCCATGGGCTCCGAGCTCCCGACTGCGGCCAGGCAGGCGGCAAGAGAAAGTTCAAGTTCCCACGACAGGAAGGGACGGCCTGGGCTGGGGGCTGAGCTCTCCTCTTCCTTTCCACACAGAAGGGTGGGTTTAAAAAACAAGCAAACAAAACCCCAACTCATCGCTGTAAGAATGGAGGGGGTCTCCTCACAGGGTCCCGCTCCTCTCCGTTAAGCGCCTCACAAGGGTCAGCGCCCAGAAGCCCTGGAGCGGCGCGGGGGGGCGGGGGGGCCGGGCGGGTCCGAGAAGCAGGAAACACCTTCCCTCCCAGGCTGTGATTTCCTCACGGGCGTTTCCGGGTCCCACTCTACCCTCCGCAGCCCCTGGAGCCCTGCGCCCCTCATCCTACGCGCGGCTGCACATCACACGTTCACGGAATGAAAGAAAGGGCTGCAATCTTGGGGTGCTGGGTGAACTGTGCCTAGAACTTCCAAACCAGCAGACGGGCTGGGGCGTGCGGTCTGCATGTTCCCCAGGTTCTGAAACCCATTACCTGAGGGGTGCAGACCATGAACGTCTGAACGCATCTAGCTTTGCACATCCCCCTGGATTTAAAATTACAGCACATCCATAAGGGGGTCACATTCAACAAAGCAGGAAGGTCTCGTTCAGTTACTCTCCCAAACTGCCAACAAAATTAAACGGAGAGCACGTTTCCGCAAAGTTCCCTTTCCTGAGAACGAAGATTTTCTCAAGACGAAGAAAAGGCCGAAACGACTTTAAATGGTGTCTTAACCGTCCCCAGATGCCGGGGCGGGGAGCCCCCCTCGCCCGCCCCGCGGCCTAGAGGAGCCTCGCGCCCAGCAGGTGCTCTGCGCTCCCTTCGCCGTCTCGCTTCTGCAGGGGCAGGTGGTCCCAGGGAGGCCGCATTCTTACCGTGTCTTGCTGCCTCACGACCTTGCCCTTGTCCGGTTCGGGGCCCAGGGAGGCAGGGGAAGAGGACGCGGAGGAAGAGGCGCTGGAGCTGGGGCTGCTACTGCCGCCGCCGCCGCCGCCGCCGCAGTTCTTCTCCTGCGCGTCCACCTTGATGAGCCTGCTGATGTAGGTGCTGCAGCCCGCGCTCCTGGCCACGCCCCGGTGCGGCTCGTCCTCGGCGGCCCGCGAGTTCTTGCGGCCCTTGCCCGCGGCGGCCTGGATCAGGCCCTGCAGGCTGTCCCGGGGCGGCCGGCTGTCCCTGGGGGCGCCGCCGCCGGCCCGGCCGCTCCCCAGCTCGGCCGCCGAGTTCTTGCGGCCCTTGCCGGGGGCCGGCGCGGCGCCGCCCGCCTCC